GTGCCCTGACCAGAGATGAAAGCTGCCTGCAGCCCTGACGTATGGGGCCAGTGCTCTAACCAACTGCGCTGCCTGGCCGGGGCCATGAACTATACACTTTAAAGGGGTGATTAGTATCGTCGGGACCCTGGGGAGGCTGCCCCAAGATGTTCCACAGTGGTACATCAATTATTTTGAATTAAAGTTAGTACTTAAGAAATTGCCTGTTTAACCAGAAAACCCCGACTTCTCTGTCCTCTTGAAATCAGGAGATAACTCTCCCTTATTACTAAAGCGAAGGGCTTCTGTACAGACAGTGCTAGCTAACTTCCCAAAAAGCACATGCTCCGCTCAGGTTCCTCTTCCGCAAGCACTGACTCTCTTAGTCCTGTTTACTCTCACGGATGTCCTCTCTCTTTGTCTAAAAAGTATAAAGAGAGCCTGGTCGGATCGTTGTTTTTAGCCCCATCTTATGATCTGAGGGTCATCTTGTGATACCCCCATGACCAGGTATTGAGTCGGTGTTTCTCCTCTCGGTCTGGGCTTGTGTAGATTTTATTATTTTATTCCTAGGTCAGCCGCAAGCTCTAAAGAAGGGGAGAGTAGGAAGTTCTCCCCATCTCTAACAGTTTGCTATGTCAATATCACCATGGTTTTTAAAAGATTTTTTAAAAGTGCAGTGGAAATTGGAAGTTGGGTGGGACTCCCGTGAGCCCTAGCGAAGGCCACGGGGAGTGGGAGGGGGCTCATTTTATTACTGGGACACGAGGCAAATAAAATGATGTAGGGATGAGGGCCAGAAATCACGTATTTTTTATCCTCCCTCGAGGACTCTTTTTTTTTCCTTTTAGAAAGAGAGGAAGGGAAAGAGAAACATTGATGTGAGAGAGAAGCATCGATTGGTTGCCCCCCCCCCCATGTGAACAGACAGGGATCGAACCCACAGCCTGTTGGTTAAGGATGACACTCCAACAAATTGGACCATACCAGCCAGGGCCAGAACTCACCTTCAAATACTTCAGCCCCACCAGATAGAACAAAACAACAACAACACACAAAAAGTGGGTCTTTTTTTAATATTCAAGATGAATATTAAAGATGAAATTCTTTTCTCATTAAAATATATTATCTACATTTACTGTAAAAAGAAACACCAAATACTTCAGTCCCCAGATTATATATGTGGTAGGTCAGGCAAATATGGTAAACTGTTAACCAATCTAGAGGCAGAATATACAGTTGCCTATACAACCTTCCAACTTTTCTGCTTGAAAATATACACCATGAGCCCTGGCCAGTGTAGCTCAGCTGGCTGGTTGGGTGTGGTCACCAGGCTGTTGTGACCAGGGCGTGTTCTGTGCACAGGTGATGCCTCAGCAGAAAGTTAAACACTAAAAATGCACTTACTTGCCCTGGACGGGTTGTTCAGTGGTTGGAGCCTCATCCCGTACACCAGAACGTTGTGGAATGATTCCTGGGGGTCAGGGCGCATGCCTACATTGCGGGTTTGGTCCCTGTCAGGGCGCATATGAAAGGCAGCACATCAATGTTTCTCTCCTTGTCTTTCTCCCCCACCCCTCCCTAAAAATCAATATGCATGTCCTCGGTTTCGGATTAAAAAAGAAGAGAAGAAAACGCACATTGTAAAAGGTGGAGGGGGAGGAGGAAAGGCACCAGGACTGTTCCCACTCCTGGTGCCGGTCAGGAGTCCAGGCTGTGCCCATGCTTCTGACCGACTGACCACCTGCAAGTTGGAGGTTTCTGCAGCTCCGTCCTTGGGTTTAATTTGCTTCGGGCTGCTCCCAGACCTCGGGGAAGGGCTTACTTACATGTACCTGCTCATTTTAAAGAATAATAAGCAGTGTAGTGATGAAGGGCACAGACTGACAGCAGATGATGGGACACACGGGGTGAGATCCGGGAGGGTCCCGAGTACAGGAACTTCTGTTCTTGTGTAACAGGGGTACGAACTTCTGTTCAGCTACTGGCAGACCGCTCCCTTCCCAGGTTGGGACGGCAAGTTCTGACCTTTTCACCCAGTGATTTTCTTTCTTTCTTTTTTTTTAAGAGAAGAAATTTTTATGTATTTATTTTTTGAAGATTTTTTAAAGAGGGGAAGGGAGTGAGAACGAGAAGGAGAGTAACATTAATGTGAGGTTGCCTCTTGTGCACCCCCCACCAGGGACCTGGCCGGCAACCCAGGCGTGTGCCCTGACTGGGATTGAACCAGTAACCCTTTGGTTCGCAGGCTGGCACTCAATCCACTGAGCCACACTGACCAGGGCTAACCCAATGATTTTCAATCGGTGTGCTGCAAGAACGTTGAAAATATGCAATACCTGACTATGTAGCCAGGGGCACTGACCTATTTCCCCTTAGATTGTCAAATAAAAAAATGACAACAGCCAACACAACAATAGCTGTCTGGTGTTAATGAATCACAGTTATACCTCCTTTTGCCAGATATGCAAAAAATATATAATATGCTTTTGGTGTGCTGCAGAATTTTAGTCATTAGTTTACATGTGCTGTGAGATGAAAAATCACTGTCCTAACCCCTTGGTCTTCTAGGCTATTAGCCCTGTTCCAGGTGTGGGTTAGGGGGGGCTTGTTCTGAACAGCAGAGACTCCTTTGTCTGTCTTATCACTTAGGAAACTCCAAGTGTTTTAGAAACCCTGTGCCATGAATGTAGATGAAGACCAAATATATTTTCTGATGAAATCACAGTGTTACTGTTTGGTTTGTGAGAAGTCGCCAGGCTATTGTGGCCTGAGTATGTTCAGTATGGGGCAGTGCTAAGGATTACCTACCGCCTGGAAACAAGGGGAGGCACCCTGTTCCAGGGAGAGACAGACGACCACCCGCCCTGGGAGCAGCTAACTGCCCAGGACAGGAAAGTTGCAGTTTTTTAATCTAATTTTCCCTGAATTTCAAAACCCCTCACCCCCATGCACTTTGCTCTCTGTTATAAAAGTCTGGCCAGGAAAGAAAATGTAAGATGGTTTCTTTTACGGTGTGAGCCCACTGTCCTCTCAGATCGCTGGCCATCTGAATAAAATGCCGTAAAGATTCAATCTGTGTCTGCTTACTGGGTTTGATAGTGACAGGCAGCATGAGCTCCGGTGTCTTTTCTGGTTTCAGATTGAGCGCGGGCCTGCAAACCAAAGGCTCCCCGGTTCGGTTCCCAGTCAGGGCACATGCCTGGGGTGCAGGCCAGGTCTTCAATGGGGGGTACATGAGAAGGAACCACACAATGATGTATCACTCCCTCCCATTCTCCTTCCCTTCCTCTCTCTCTAAAAATAAAGAAATAAAATCTTTTTTAAAAAAACCTGTAAAAATGTTGCATAGACACTTTGGATGAAGACATAAGACTTGCCTCCTGGGTGAAAATGGTTGACAACTATCTTCCTTCAGGGTAACCTTTTGTCCCTTTAACTACTTCCCGTGTGCAGTAATAACTATGCAAAAACTAAATTTTAGGCAAGACTGCAAGGGGCAGTGGAGTCTCCTTGGGCTGGGGTTTGGATTACAAGCATTTGTCGGCTCTTGTCAAAACAGCACGTCGTCCACTTAGATTCATGCATTTCATTGTATGTGAAAGAGACAGAGACAGAGAGAGACAGGGGGAGATGGAGGGACCAAACCCCACGGGAGTGTTTGCGGAGCTGTGCTGCGAAATGCAAACGCGTCGGCAGAGGAGCTGGATGGACAGGTGGACAGAGGACCAGTGGGGGTGAATCACCTAGGACGCGTTATGCCGCTATTTCAGCTCTGCCGTGTGTTACAGAACTCCTTCCCTCCCCCCCTCCTTTCCTTCCTTCCTTCCTTTCTCTCTCTCTTTCTTTTTAAAGGAGTTTGGGAGTATTCTTTCCTCTTCAATTTTTAAAAAGATTTTATTTATTTATTTTCAGAGAGAAGGGAAGGGAAGGAGAAAGAGAGGGCGAGCAATATCCATATGAAAGAGACATAGTGATCAGTTGCCTCTCACACGCCCTCCAACTGGGAACCTGGCCCACAACCCAGGCATGTGCCCTGACTGAGGATCGAACCAGTGACCTTTTGGTTTACAGGCTGGCACTCAATCTACTGATCCGCACCAGCCAGGGCACAGAATTTTCATAATACAAAGATTCTGCTATAAAACAGCAGTGTCTCAAAAAGTTACACAGAGCCACTGTATGGCCGAGCAATTTCACCCTCAATGCTCACCCAAGAGAAATGAAATGGCGTCCACACAAGTGTAAGTGCAAGTGTGTCCATGACAGTAAATTCACAATAGCCAAAGGTGAACACAACCAAAATGTCCATCCAGGGATGGATGTGGCTGTCCACACACTCAAATGTCACTCGGCCATGAGAAGGAGTGAAGCACTGACACTCGCTACAGTGTGGATGGGCCGTGATGCTCAGTGAGAGACGCCAGACTCAAAAGGCAACCAGCGTGTGATCCATTTATGTGGAATGTGCAGAACAGGCACATCCACAGGGCCAGAGAGTGGATTTGCAGGTGTCAGAGGCCTGGGAGGGGGTTGGAGGTGATTGTTGATGGGGACAATGCTGTTCTTTGGGGTGATGAGATGTTCAGGAGTTAGATAGAGGTGATGTTATGTAACCTTGTGAACATGCTAAAAACCACTGAATTATACACTTTAAATGGATGAATTGTAAGGCATGAGAATTATATCTCAAGATTGTAAACATATTACAAAAAATAAAAATAAAAGGAAGAAGGTTCTGGGATGTTTTATTCAGCGACCCCTGTCTCCCAGCACCCGGCACATCCCCTGCCTGCCAGCTGAACTCTGGCTGCGGCTCCCAGCCCTGGACGAAGCCATGCCCTGCCATCCTCCTGCCCTTGCCCCAGAGCCCCTCTTGGGAGGAGCTGGCCCTCACCTGCTACTGGGCTGCCCGCAGCAGCCTCAGAAGTGCAACCTCTGTTTTATAAGTGGGGAAACCAAGGCTTGCCTAAGGCCTCACAGGCAGCATGGCAGAAGTGGGATCAGAATCCAGGCAGGACTCCTGCAGTTGCTTTATTACAATTTATTTGTCCTCTGAGCTGTGGCCAGTCCCCTTTCTGCCCCTCCCCATGATTCTGCAGGGGAGGGTCCCACAAGCAGGGGAGTTGGGATCACCTCTGAAGCATCAGGCCTGGCCAGCGCCCGATGATCTTCTTGATCCAGGACACATAGGGGGCCACAGCGGTGGCCACAGGGGGCTTGAATATGTTAATGCAGGTTCTGGAGCTGAAGGACAGGATTCCAGCCACCTGGCCTTCGGTGCACACCAGGGGCCCGCCTGAGTCGCCCTGTTGGAGACCGGGGGCACTGGTTACCCTCAGTGCCTGCTGAAGAAAGCCTGTTTATCCCCGGGGGGATGGGAGGGTGGCTCCAGGGTAGAGACCCCCCCCAAGTCCCACATCTGCTTACACACATGTCTTTACTCCCCTCCCAACCTCTTTCATTCCCTTTTTCCTTCCTTCCTGTCCTTTTAACACTCTTTGCTTCTTCTTTCCACCCCAGGACCTTTGCACATGCTGTGATCATCTTTGGTGCTAGAGTTCAAACCCCATCTCTGCTGCTCCCTGACTATGTGGCCATGGGCAAGTCACTTAACTTCTCTGTGCCTCAGTTTCTATATCTGAGAAATGGACTAATGCTAGTACCAATCTCCAGGATCCCCCAGTGAATGGGCAGAGTTGGGGCCCAGGGAGAGTTGGGGCTTGCCAGGTTGCCCCTGGCCACAGGCTGATGCCCTCACCTCAGGCTAATCTGCCCTGGCCTGCCCCACCGCTGCCCCTTTACCTTGCAGGGGCCCTCGTTCTTGGACTTGGCTTCCAAGCAGATCATGTTGGGGGTGATGTCACCATTCCAGAAACGACTATTGTTGCACATCTTGGCATCCAGCACACGCATGTCCAGCTCCTTCAGTGCTCTTGCTAGTTGCCCATGCTGGGTCTTCCCCCAGCCAGCCACACTGCACTTTGCTCCTGTTGCCACTGCCCGGTGCCTTCTGGGTAAGGCCAGGGGCTTGATAGTCTTGTCAAAAGCCACCTTATGCTCCAACTACAAGAAGGGACAGCTTAGTGAGGGAGAGTGGGAGACAGGCAGTGAGAGAGAGGCAGCTGCCACTCCTTCCCCCACCCCAGCACCTTAAGCAATGCGAGGTCATTCCTCAGATCAGGGACCGGCTTGTAGTTGGGGTGCAGAACTGCTTTCTTGACTTTTAAATCGAGGACATCGTCTCCAAGCTCATGGAGCCCCAGCTTCAGCCTCAGCTGTTCGGGCCTGTGGGCAGCAGAATCGGTATGTGCTGCCATCCTGCAGCTTGGGGACCCCTCCACACACCTGAGCTCTGCCCTAGGGTCCATCTAGGCTGACTTCAAGGTCAAGAGATATCTGCTGCCCCCCACCCCCACCCCATACCTGGCTCCTTTACCTGGCCTCTCTATGACTAGGCCTTCCTCTGCTCCTTCTCAACTGCCTCCTCCCCACTTCATCCAGGAAGCTGTCCCTGCTCCCACCCATGCCTCAGAGTCCAGTTTATCTCTGGCCAGAGGCTGAGTTGTGTGTGTACAGAAATGATGACCTCCAGCCTGGGGCTCCCCTCTGTGGGGCTCTAGCCTCACCCAGGGCATATGTTAAGCCTCAACCATAGTGATTTGTTCTAAGGCTGGCATGTGACCTAGGCTGGGCCCATCAGCACTGATCCTCATAACTTTGCCCAAACTATAGAGAAACAAACTTTTCCCACAGGATCTAAGGCGGTCCAAACTTGCCACCATGTGACAACCTTCCTGAAAATGTGGCCAAGGTACTTGACAGAAGAGCTGAGGGACAGGTAGGCTCCTGACCAGCTCGTGCAAGCACCTGGATCAAGTTGTGCCTGAAGCCTTATATCTTCCTAAATTTTTCTTTCACACAAACAAAACAGATGGCCTTTGGTTACTTTGACCAGTTTGATCTGGATCTTTATCACTGTGTAGTCCAGAGATAGGGCACCTCCAAGATCAATTTATTTGGTGACTTCCTAGGTTGGTTCTGCCGCCCTCACAGACCAGCGCTAACCCCACGGCCGCAATGAGAGACACATTCCTGGGTGTCCCAAGAGGCCCAGATTCTGTGCAGTTGGAAGGTGCTTTGTCATGGCGGGTGAAGTTTCCCTAGGAATCCTTCAGTATAATGTCACTTAGGCACGCCCAAGGTTGACGCCACCAACACACACCAGAGCAATCACAGGAGAGGGAAAGGGGGCAGCCCTATACCCTACAATTGGCTTCAGTCTGTCAGGATCCACCTCTCAGTGAGAATGGGGAACCTGGGATAGAACTGGGGACACTCGGGGTGACAGACGGGGTGGGCGGGTTAGGACCACTTACGGCTGGACCACGCAGTGGGCAGCTGTCAACACCCACAGGCGGTCCACAAGGACTGCCCCACAGAGGTGGGTGCCGTTTTCCTGCAGTGAGGCCATGTATGGACGGGAGTGGGGAACAGCCTCGCGACCCCCAATGATGCGGGTCTCCAATGTGTCACCTCCTAGGGAGAGGAACAGAGCTCCAGATTAGGGCCAGGTGCCCCATCCCTACCACGGCCCAGGGGCCTCAACCCTAACCCAGTGCCCTCTGTTCCCTGAGATACTCAGGTCGGCAAGCGGGACTGCCTTTGATCCCCCTCCATCCTTTACCCCTATGTCGTGGTCACCAGCAGGCGACCATCTCGCATTCACACAACCCCCTCCCTCGCTTCCGAGCCCCACCGGGACTCCCATGGTCACCACAGCACAGCCCCTGTTGCAGCAGCTAGAGGAGCTGTTGAAGGTGGAGAAACTGGACCATCACATCCCTTCCCTGGGATGTAAAATTGCGCCGCCACTGAGGAAACAATCTGGCAGTTCCTCAAAGGTTAAACAGTTACCACCAGATGGACGCAGCAACTCCCCTCCAAGGGGAAGGAAAACACATACCCACAAGATGTTGTGCACACATGTTCACAGCTGTCAGATTCACAACTGCAAATAGTGGGAACAGCCCGCATGACCAGCAAAAGGTAATGGACAAACAAAAGGTGATATATTCATACGCTGGAGTATTATTCAGCCATGAAAAGGGGCGAAGCACTGTCGTTCACTACAGCTTCAGTGGCCCTTGAACACGTGACGCTCAGTGAGGGAAATCAGACACAAAGGGCTGCATAGTGTGTGATTCCTTTTATGTGAAATTCCCAGAACAAGGAAGTGGGCTGCTTAATGGGTGCCAGAGGCTATGGAAGGGAGTGGGGAGTAGTTGTTAATGGGGATGGGGTTGCTTTTTGGGATGATGGAACTTCCTGGAACTAGATAGGGGTGCTGGTTGCCTAATACTCTGAATGTACTAAAACCCACTGGATTATATACTTTCAAGGGGTGAATTGTATGGCATGTGAATTATATCTCAATAAAAATGTTATAAAAATTGTTTCAAAATCAATCATGAGTTTTAAAAGATTGATAAAAGGGTTTTAAATGTAAATCAGTTGAAAATCTTCCAACAATTCTGCTTCATGCTTTAAATATCTAAACTCTCCATGAGCCACAAGAGCCACATGAAGTAGCCCCGCCTCCTACCCATGGCTCCTCACTCCGCTCTTCCCACACCGCCCTCCCGGTTGCTCCTCTGCCGCACAGCCTTCACTGCCACCCTGAGGCCTTTGCACATGCTGTTCCCGTAGCCTTTCTTGCAGACGTTCCCACGTCTGGCTTGGGTGTGTCTGTTCAAAAGCCTTCTCCTCAGAGACCCCTGCACCTCCCAACTTCCTTAACATAACCCTCCCCCCTCACTCTGCTCTGTTCTCTCCCGGGCCCTCACCCTCCCTGACATTGTTTCGCATGCAGACTTGCTCATGGACTGTCTGTCCCCACTAGTTCCCGAGGGCAGGCCCTGTGCCTATCTTGTTTACAACAGGCCTGAACAGTAGCATATGCTCAGCAAATACTGATAGGTGGATGAAAAACAACAAATGATGGATGGAAAAGATGGATGGCTGATGAATGATGAATGGATGATGGATGGATGGAAGGCAGAGAAAGACTGATGGATAGGTGGCTGGATACCTATTGTACTGGGTCCCTGATTTATCACAGAGCCATTCTTATCCAGCCCAACCAAAATTCTGGGATGTCCATCACCCACCTCTTTCTAGCTTAAGCTCCTTAGTCACCCAGTCCTGGCCAGGTACACATGATTTAGGGAGGCCAACAGCAGGGGCTCAAATTCCAGCTCTGTGCTTCCCGGCCAGGCAATCCCCAACAGGTCATCTCACTCCCTGGGTCGTAGTTTCCTACTCTGCAACCCAGGTTTATGTGCATATGTATACAAGGACCCTGCCTCCTGGATGCTGCCAGCAGGCAAAGAGCCTGCATCTGCCCCGAGTTCCGTGGTATTCTGCAAAGCCAGCTCCAGGGTGGAGTGTGAGGAGCACAGGATATCCTCAGAGCCCCACGGTCTTCCCTTAAGAAAACTGCAAGAAGAAATCAGTGGTTTTTACCCTAGAGAAATCGGGCGAATGTAAACTTCACCAAGTGATCAAGGTAATGGCGCTAGGAAGCAGGGGTGAACCCTCTGTGGTTCTGGCAGGAAATGTGCAACCTGAACCTGGCCTTGGGGACACAGCAGGCAGGCCCACAGGCATTACAAATGCCAGTGTTACAAGACCCAGGGGGGAAGTGAAGAAACTGTCCTTAAGGTGAAGGACACCTTCAGGTGAAGGAGGAGACCAGATGCACCCCTCTGGGTTTGTTCCCTCAAAGGACACTGTGGGAACATTTGAGTAAGGTCTGTAGGGGAGCTAACAGCACCATATGAATGCATGGTGTTGAGAATCTGCTATGATTGTGTAGAGAATGTCCTTGTTCGCAGAAAACACGCCATGGCACTTAGGAATGAGGGGCAGGGTGCCTGAAACTTACTCTCCATTGGCTCTGATAAATAACATATGTATTTGTTACCATCCTTATCACCAGCAAGGGTGATAAGACAACTGGGCCAACATATTTACAATTGAGAAATCTAGGGGCCCTGGCTGGGTAGTACAGTTGCTTAGAGTGTGTGTCAGTCTGTTAAGCCAAGGTTGTGGTTTAAATTTCTAGTCAGGACATATACAAGAAGCAACCAATAAATGCATAAATAAGTGGAACAACAAATGGATTGATTTCTCTCTCTCTCCCCTCCCCTTCCTCTCTAAAGTCAATTTAAAAAAATTAAATATTTTATTTATTTATTTTCAGAGAGTGGGGAAGGGAAGGAGAAAGAGAGGGAGAGAAACATCAATGTGTGGTTGCCTCTCATGTGTCCCCCTCTGGGAACTGGCCTGCAACCCAGGCATGTGCCCAGACTGGGAATCGAACCACGATCCTTAGCTTCACAGGCCCATGCTCAATCCACTGAGCTACACCAGCCAGGGCTAATTAAAAAATTTTTTTAATGAAATAAACTTAAAATGCCTGCCCTGATGTGACCTGACCTCTTCCTTGGGGCCCCTGCTCGGGCCCCACCTCCTTTCTGGAGCAGCTGACATTTCTTCCATCAGTCCCCTTCTGGGGAAAGTGAATTTATTTCCAATCTCTGTTCTGACACCCACCCATGAACGTCCAGGGGCCTAAACCTTGGGCATTTCCCCCTTGCTTCGCTCCCACTCACCTGCCCAAAGGGCCTCTGGGGCCAGCAGCAGCAGCAGAGAGAAGAGGGCCTCCATGGTGCCGGGGAGCTCAGCTGCACATGCTGCCTGGGCCTCCAACACCTTCCCCACCCCACCCACCCCTTCCTATGGGGGAGGGAACCTTCACAGCTTCACTCCCCGCAGCACCTGCACCTCCACCCCTGGCTGGTTTTACTTCACCCAGAAGCATTTCAGAAAAGTCCTCCTAAAAGGCACAGGCTCTCTGGAGAGAAAAAGCACATTACACATCACACCTGAGAAATCAACAAAAATTCCTCCTCATCATCGCATATCCTGTCAGGTTCTACTCCCAGCTCATACACCTTTGTGTGTGTGTGTGTAGTTTTCTTTGCCCTGTTTCTTACTGTAGCAAAATACACTTAACTGTCTTTAGTGTGTAGCTCAGTGACATTCAGCACATCACACTGGCGTGCAGGCAACCCCTGCGTTCGTCTCCAGAACTTTCTCTTCTTCCCAAGCTGACACTCTGACCCCAGCAAACACTGACTCCCCTTCCCCAGTCCCTGGCACCCACTACATACTTCCTGCCTCTACAGTGGAATCTCACAGTATTTGTTCTGTGTCTGGCTTATTTCACTGAGCATAATATCCTCAAGGCTCATCCACACTATAGCAGGTGTCAGCATTTCCTTCCTTTTTAAGGCTGAATCATATTCCATTATAGGGTTGGACCACATCTTGTTCATCTGTCCATCATTCCACGGATATTTTGGCTATTTTCAATCTTTGTTGTTCTGGATAAAGATGGCATGAACACTCGTGCACTATGAACACTTGTGGGACAGCCACAAATCTGAGGGTCCTCGCCAGGCTCAGCTGCATGGAGTGCTGCCCGGAGCAGCCATTACTCTCAGCTGGACTTGGAACTGGAAGGATGTCAGCCTGGGGGTGGCCCCAAAGTGAGAGGAGTCCCCCTGAAAAGAAAGCCCACACACAGAAAGTTGAGCTTGGGGATATTAGTTTCCTCTTGTAGCTTTAACAAATTAATGAATTGCCTCACATTCAGTGCCTGAAACCACACAGATTTATCCTCTTAGTTCTGGAGGCCAGAGTAGTTAGTGAGTTTCACTGGGCTGCACCCATGTGTATGCAGGGCTGATTTCCCTGGAGGGCCCAGGAGAGAATTGTTTCCTGCCTTTCCCAGCTTCTAGAGGCACAGACTCTGGGATGAAGGAATGGATATCTTTGGGGCTGTTATTCTGTTGACCACAGGTTGGGGGAGACAGTCTGGACAGAACCAGTGCCTGGATCCTGCTATGCCTGAAACCCCCAGCCTTGTCAGACACAGAAATCAATGAATTTCCTTTTTGCTTAAGTCATTTTGAGTGGGGCATTTTGTCCTTTGCTACTGAAGGGATCATGGCTATTAGAAGAGAAGAGGCAGAAAGATTGATCCCAAATGGCAGGTAAATTCACCTATGTATTGGGGCTCTGGAAGCAAGTCACCATCTCTTCTCTGATTTGACAGCATCTGAAACATGAAGCTCTGGAATTCTGTCTTCACTCAGTAGGGTGTGTGATGCTAGGGATGAGTTTATCACCCAAAGGTTGTCCCAATTCAACACCAATAGAAATCCCCAAATTGGGGTGAAGGGAGACTTTATTTGGAGCAAACAATTTAATTGTGATATGGTGTGGCAGTGGGAAGCCTTGGCTGTGAGACAACTCAATTATGATAAAGTACAGCCGTGAAACAGCCCAGCCAGCCCAGCCTGGGTGAGGTGGTCCAATGTTACAGCTCTCGTGTCCCAGCTCAGTCCTAGCAAGAGAGCTCTGTTCAGCCACAGTGTGGGAATCAGTCTCCATCAGGAACTGAAAGTGAGTGACATCAAAACAGGGGAGGCCACCACATATAGAGACGTTCCCAATCCTGGTTCCTGATTTGTTCATTTTTATGCAAATAAGACCCCAAATCTTCAGAATTTGTTCCAAAAGGCACTGTCCTGATTACTTGGAATGGAGCCACTCTAATTGGCTGGTAAAGATGTAAATGAGATTGTAGCTGCACAGCTCTGATTGGAGGGCAGGTCTTCAGCCTATTGGTGAAAAAAATTTTTTAAATATTTTACTTATTTTTATTTTTTAAAATATATTTTATTGATTATGCCATTACAGTTGTCCCATTTCCCCCTTTATTCCCCTCTACCCTGCACACCCCTCCCCCACCATTTCCCCCCCTTTAGTTTATGTCCATGTGTCACAAGTTCTTTAGATTCTTTATTTTCCATACTATTCTTGCCCTCCCCCTATCTATTTTCTACCTCCCATCTATGCTACTTATTTTCTGTACCTCCTCCCCCCTTCTCCTCCTCCCACTGCCCTGTTGCTAACCTTTCATATGATCTCCATTTCTATGGTTCTGCTCCTGATCTAGCTATCCTCTTAGTTTGCTTTTGTTTTAGGTGTGGTTGTTAATAACTGTGAGTTTGCTGCCCTTTCACTGTTCATCTTTTTTATCTTCTTTTTCTTAGGTAAGTCCCTTTAACATTTCATAGAATAAGGGCTTGGTGATGATAAACTCCTTGAATTTGATCTTATCTGAGAAGCACTTTATCTGCCCTTCCATTCTAAATGAAAGCTTTGCTGTCTAGAGCAATCTTGGATGTAGGTCTTCAGATTTCATGACTTGGAACACTTCTTTCCAGCCCCTTCTTGCCTCTAAGGTCTCTTTTGAGAAATCAGCTGACAGTCTGATGGGAACTCCTTTGTAGGTGACTGTCCCCTTATCTCTTGCTGCTTCTAGGATTCTCTCCTTCATTTTAATCTTGGCTAATGTAATTATGATGTGCCTTGGTGTGTTCCTTCTTGGGTCCAAGTTCTTTGGGACTCTCTGAGCTTCCTGGATTTCCTGGAAGTCTATTTCCTTTGCCAGCTTGGGGAAGTTCTCCTTTATTATTTGTTCAAATAATTTTTCCACTTGTTGCTCTTCCTCTTCCCCTTCTGGTACCCCTATAATTCAGATATTGGAATGTTTAAAGATGTCCTGGAGGTTCCTAAGCCTCTCCTCATTTTTTTTTAAAGATTTTATTTATTTATCTTTACAGGGGAAGGGAAGGAGAGAGGGAGAGAAACATCAATGTATGGTTGCCTTTTGTGCATCCCCTGCTGGGAACTGGCCTGCAGGGAAATGGCCTGCAACCCAAGCATGTGCCCTGACTGGGAATCGAACCGCGACTGTCTGGGTCGCAGGCCCGCGCTCAATCCACTGAGCTACACCAGCCAGGGCTTCTCCTCATTTTTTTGAATTCTTGTGTCTACATTCTTTTCTGTTTGATCATTTTTTTCTTTCTTCTGGTCCACTCCATTGATTTGAGTCCCAGTTTCCTTTCCATTACTATTGGTTTCCTGTGCATTTCCCTTCATTTCACTTAGTTTAGCTTTCATTTGTTCCTCTAATTTGTGACTAAAATCAACCAGTTCTGTGAGCATCCTGATCACCAGTGTTTTGAACTGTGCATCTGATAGGTTGGCTATCTCTTGGTCGCTTAGAAGTATTGGCTCTGGGGCTTTGAGCTGTTCTTCTTCTTGAGCCATAATGTTTTGGTCTGTTTGAGCCTGTTATGTATGTGGGGCGGAGCTTTAGGTGTTCACCACGGCAGGGCAACCCAGTGGCTGGGTTGTGAAGCTGTATGTGGGGGCGGGGTCAGAGAGGGGTAATGGTGCTTGCTCCACGCTCTCTCTCCGAATTTCGGTCCCCTCTGCTGCTTCCCACAAGCAAATTGGGTCCTTCTGGTGCTGGTTCCCGGATGTGTGGGCCTGTGCACTCTCCAGGACCCTGTGGGTCTCTCCAACGAACTCTCTGTGAGCCTGGGAGCTTCTCCCAGCACCTCGACCCCCAGAAGTTTTTCCAATTGGTGCTTTTAGGCTTTAATTCCCGGCGCTGAGGCCCTGGTTTGCATGGTCTGTCTCATAGCTCGCTCCTTTGCCTAGTTTATCTGAGTGTGAATGTGTGACCACGGTCAGCTGCCTTGCACCCTCACCGGGTCTGCTGGTTGCCACCCCACGTCTGGGTCACTTTTTCCTGCGCGACCTTGCTGCACCAGCCGCTGACCCTGCCCCTCTTACCGGTCTGGATGAATGGTTCATTGTTGTCAGACTTCTGTACAGTTCAATTTTCCATCTGTTTTGGTTGTGTTTTTATTACTAAAACTTTATTGTCTTTAAACTTGGTTGTGTGAGGAGGCACAGTGTTTCCACCTACGCCTCCATCTTGGCCACCCCAGATTTTACTTATTTTTAGAGCGAAGGTAAGGAAGGGAGAGAGGGAGAGAAGCATCAATGTGTGGTTACCTCTCATGCACCTCCTACTGGAGGCCTGGCCTGTCACCCAGGCACATACCTTGAATCAAACCAGGGAAACTTTGGTTTGCAGGCCAGTGCTCAGTCCACTGAGCCACACCAACCAGGGCCTATCAATGAAGTTCTGATCCTAGGAGCTCTCTTATAAGGTCAGCTCACACGGTGGCAGGAGCGGTGTCGGAGGTTGGCAGCCCAGTTTGTGGCTTTTTCCGGACATGCAGCATTCATGAGGGACTTCCGCAAACAATGGTTGCTCAACTCCGGTTATCATTTTGGACCCAATTAACCACAAGGAGTCCTTCTTGGCAGATATATTCTTCTCGGAGTCAAGAAGTTAGAAAAAAATTCATATTTATAGCATGAGCTCACAGGTCCCATCTTGTTTAATCCTGACAGTCCCAGAAAGTAGATTCTATTAGTGTCAGGATGGTCAGATTTAGCAACTAAATGTCGAGTGTGCCTGGGTTAAATTTGCATTTCAGAGAGTTAACGAATAATTTTTTTGGTATAAGTATGTCCCAAATGTTGCCAGTGATACCCTTATAGTAAACACTTTGTTGTCTATCTGAAATTCAAATTTAACTGGACAGCTCTATTATCTCCATTTGCAGCTTACAAAATGGAGTTCTTTTATTTTTACTGTAGTGGCTTTAGAACCACCAGTTCTTGGACATGTTCCCATCAAGAGGTGGGGTCTGTCCCCTCTCCTTGAATCTCGCTGAGCTAGTGCCTATTTTGACCAGTCATGTGAAGCAGAAGT